TTTTAAACCCCTACACTCATTTCTTAGTCCTTTCCTCATTTTAGAGGCTTCCTGCCTTCCATCTTATAGACATTCTCGATGTGTTCCAATTTTAGAGCCACGTGACCCATGCGACCTTTCGCCTAGACGCCTCATGAATAAGCGCTAATAGAGCGGTTTAACAATCACAACCGCACTTGTTCCGATTCGTGACCTTGCCGCCGGTGCGTGTGAGTGTGGCTTTCACAGCTGCTTGCGTGTAAAAGGCTTTGTCACCAGTCACAGCATCTGCTGTGACTCATGAAGTGGTAATGCGCCAGGTACAAGCAACTGTGGCCGCGAACAATGTATTAGGAACAGCTCTCGTCCTCCAGGTACGACATTCGGATTCACCTCAGAGGTTCACGGTTCCTTGACTCTTGAACATGAGGTATAAAAAGCCATTCATGACATGCTAATCCGTTGGGATACGCCATGCATGAAAATCCACTCGTTTTCGCTGCGGGACTCGGGTGTGTATTTTCCCATATAGCAGAGATATGAAGAGCCATGCTGATGTGGAACTCAAGGTTATCGTTCTCTAGGAAACTGAGTGAACCTGGGGGAACGCGATTCTCAATAGGTTGTAAAGGATTTGATCGAAACTGTCAATTCGGCAGGGGATTTGACCCGTAGACCTCGCAAGCCGCAGTGGCGTCTTTTGCTGCTGTTCAAGCAATCGCCCATTCCCTTAAGCGCACACTTTTCAAATGTTTCCGGTCGAAAATGCGGGCATTATCACTCGAACATTACCCGTTGTGGACCAAAGGGCGCTCATGTCTTTGCGGGTGGGGGACATTCAAAACAGGGCCGATACCCAGGTAAGGGCTATGACTAGCCAAGGGAGAAACGCCAGAGAGAACATAAATTGCTCACATACTCCCCAGGATCCTTCCCCTCCCTGGGGCTTAGTCCCAAGCACAGTAATTGGCTCACCCACATTTATGTCCCCCCAGGGCTTGAGCGCCAAGCAAGGGACACCCTCAAATAGATTGCTTACGAAGTCTTCTCATCGCTGCCAGCTAATCCGCCCCAGACTGTTCTGGAAGCATATACTGGGAAACCACATGGAACATACCCAGCTTAAAAGGTCTTGATTTTTAGCGAATATGTGTAAAGGGAAGGCCTGTAAGCTTTTTCATGAAACGGTGTGGATCATCTTCCACATCGCTGAGTACGCAAGCCTTTTGTTAATGTAGAAGTCTGTGCGCATTCCTCAACAAATCTGGTTTCACAGCACAATTAGAAGAAAATAGCTGAAGTCTGCCTAACAGCCCCGTTTCACACCGTTAAATGTATGAAAAAGGCGTCGCCTCGAGTGTCAAGAAATGGTTAAAACAAAAAAAAAAGACGGCGCAATGTGGCTCGGGGGGGGCACTCTGAGAAAAGTCATCTAGGACTAAGCCTAAACAGCAGGGACGAACTCCGGAGAATACGAAAATTGCTTCCGTACACCGGAGTTCCTCTCCTCTTCAAAAGCTTAGTCCTAAAACGGAGCGTTTCCGTGATTTTGACGCGATGTTGCGAGGTGCCCCCCCCGAGCCACATTGCGCCAAATTACAGTTTAACTTCGTATTGGGGACAACACTGAAAATAAAAAACAGTTGCAGTGGAAACTGCAGGCAAGATAGGGTGCAATACAAGTGGAATGGGCACGCCGTATTTTTGAATACGGTAAGCGCGAAATGTATGTATCTGGGAACTGCTACCCGCTACTAGTATGGTGTCACTAGAATCTATTTATTTAAATGGAGGAATTCGTGAACCCCAGGGGGTAGTGTAAGGCTATCTAGGTGGATGGGGGGTATGAGGGCCAGTCATTGACATGCATTGAGCTTGGAATGTGTTAGATTACTTCGTAGCGTCTAGTCGCGTGCAGCCATGGTGTGCAGCAGTCTCCACCACTTACATACATTTTGCAGACCTACCGTATGCAAAAACAATTCGCAGTGACCAGTCCACCTGTACTGCTCCCCCGAAAGACTTAGATTGTAAAAGTTGCTACAGAGAGGACACAAAAAGGCTTCTTCAGTAAGCCATAAAAACTGACCTCGCGAAGTAAAAAAAAAAACGAATGCGATCGGCAATATGTGGGCTGTGGGCAGTCATTGATCTTCCAATTGATGACCTCAGGCCCACGTGAAACGAACAGGTTGCCATTGATGGACGCGACAAATATTTAAATATAACTTTTCAAACTTAATTGGAAGGGCGCAAGGGCCTCAGAATTACCGCACCAAGCCGTGACCCGCCTCAAGCCACTGCGCTACGCCTTGCTTTGAGCGGTCCTTGCTTATTAGGCTGCAGGAGCCATTGAATGCTCACGTAAGCGTTTTCGGTCCTTCCACTAGAGTTCGCTACCACTTTAAGCAAACCCGAGGGCATCTGAACTATTGTCGCTCAATTTGATTGAAATTCTGATGATTTTGATTTGTTGATGAGTATGAAAAACGAGGCTGTCAAAGGGTCCTCCATTCTGCTACTGCGTGGAATTCAACATTGTAAGGTACCCCTTCACAGTAGTTTTCAATAAATGTCATCCCTATATACCTTCCGCTAAATTTTAGGCATCAAAATATATCCGCGTAGAAGAAGAACGCGCCTTGAATCGAAGGATAAGCTTTCCCCGCCCGATCCCACCGATTTTTCAGCCCTTTTCGGGAAACGAATAAAGTTCTACCACTTGAGCGGCTAATTTTTGAAGCCATACCCATCAATTTACAGGTCAGCGAAATGCTCTCAATCAAGGGGTGATCCCACCTTCGATGTGAATAAATTTCCTCAGGCTAGGACTCCGCCTGCTTTATGTCCATGGCAGGCTTTACCGTCTGCAAAGACGAAGATGCCGCGAAGATGACCCGAAGATTTCTCTTTGAGCTTTCCTGTTTTGTCTAGAAGACAAGCGGATCAAAAATCCCCTGCGGCAGCTTTCAGATCACGATTCAGTGACCTTTTCTGGGTGGGTTCGAGTGTCGCGCGAGCGACGATGGCGAGAAGGAGTGACTCAGTTCCACCGGAACCTGTCTTTCTCTGCCGCGCGCTTATAAGGGCGCGAAGGCGTAGATGCCGACGACGTCAACACTCTCGAACAGATGCTCTAAATCTGTTAGGCGGACTTTAGCGTTCCATTCCCGTCGCAGCGGCCAATTTCGGTACGTGTCATCAGTCTTATTGTTTGTTTTTAATTCCCATGCTGACAAATCCTGTTTATGGAATGGCCACGGTTGTTTTTGCTAACCGCACTGTTTCGTAGAACTTTGCCGTTGAAAATGAAACTGCCATGAACGAATTCATTACTTTCGGGCTGTAGCAGGGGTTATAGCAACGAATTGGGTGGCTGTATGGCATTCTGGTTGGTGACAGGGTCTTATTGGCTACTTGACGCTGCGTTATCTGATCACAACTGGAGAGAACGAGACACAACTTGGCGCTCCCCACGCTTCCATCTAGTAGATCTCAGCCTATCCATTCCTTTCCGTCTCTCTCATAAGCAATCTTCGATGGCTATCTCAGGACCATTACTGTGAATAGAAAAGAATCTGCAGCATCGCTAGAAAGGCATTGAGGAAAAAAAATCACTTGAGCAGGGCTTATGTTGAAGACTCATTGCCTCGGGAGGGGGGGGAGGGAGGGAGGAGAAGGGACACTATAAGCAGGGTATTCAGGAACAAGGCTAAGTGACACGAGCAGAACGACGGAGAAACACCAGGGAGAACAAGAGGTGCTCCCTTGGAACCCCTTCCAATCCCTAACTCTTTTCCCTAGTTCTTTGAAGGTTCACTCATTTTGATCCCCCCCCCACCCTAACGACATCAGCGTCGAAAAGTGCCTGTACTAGGTTAGCATAACCCAAATTTCAAACAAAACCTATTGAGCTTCCAGTGTTAACGGTAATCTTTCAGGAAGCTGCTGCTACTCCCTTCCTCCACCATGTCCACCTCCCGCGTGTGCTCCGCCGCCTCCACCACCACTTCCTTGTCCACCTCCACCAGTGTGCCCACCACAGTTCTGCCCTCCACCTCCACCATGTCCTCCTCCACCTCCACCGCCACCACCACCACTTTGTCCTCCTCCGATGCCAGCCTACCCGGCACCGTGTCAGAGTTACGCGCCAGCACCAGTTTTCCAGCAGGTACGATTAGTTTTTGAAATATGTGGTTCAAAATATTAGGTTTATTACAATTTAGTACGTTGCTCCACCAGCCGTGGATTGCTGTTGTCGATGTGGAGTGCCGTGCCGCTTCAGACACAGACATCGAACCCACGGTTCCAAGGTACCGTTCCGGTTACTGCTGCGATGTTTGCTTTCACCCTCTGTAAGCTCTTGAATTGCAGATTTTCGCAGCCGACTCAGTTGAGGAAGAGATGGAAGCCACTTGCAACAACAAGAAATTGCGAGTGATCATTGAAGACGTGAGTTTTGAAGTGTTTATCTAAATCGACCTGATCGAATTCGCTAGCTGTTTACACAATGTGATGCTGTGATCTGATACGACTGATTGCGCAACGATCACCTTCGATTTCGACGAAACCAGCCTGGTGATGACCCTGAACACCCCGCGAAACCCGAACAATATTGAGAAGCGCGAAACAGCAGAAAAGCGTAGGAGAGAAATCTATCCACACGGTAATGGGCGTCGTCGGGAAACCGATGGCGCGTTAAGAAAGGCGTGGGCAATGCCAAACACTATCAACGCCTTTGATAATGATTTTTCGGAAATTTTGAATAATTCCAAGGATAACTGGGGTACACTTTCTGCCTTTCCCTCCTTATAGAGTTCATCTTTACACGGGGATAGGGCAGCGATTAATGCGTTGCTTCGCACCTCACAAACCTCAAAAGCTTGAAGGGTGAGCAGCAGCGGAAGTTTGTGCCTGCGACACTGGGGCTTTCTTATCCAGAGGCGATGTTAGAAACTGACTACTTTACCATTTAAAAAGAGCCTAAGGCTGAATATAGGGTGGCAAGCTTAACAATCGGTAAAATAATGCCATGTTACCCGCACCTAGTGATTTTCCAATTTTGCAAAGAGGCCATACATGTTGCAAGGAGGCTATTACGTTTAGTTTTCAGCGCTAGCTGATGTTTTAATACGGCACCGAATGTTTTCAACCAGCAAGGTTAGGCTACTGAACCAGCAAGTTTGGTCATCGGTATATCTCAGCCACCCAAGTTGGGCAGGGTCCAAAACATTTTGCCCATCACATGAACTCTGTAGATTTTTATGGAATTATTGATGCCTGTAGAAATTAAACGAGCGATAGTTTACACAAAGGTGCTAGTTTCGCCACGACTTGATTTACGACTATCACGAAAAAGTGATTTTATTGATTCTTCTTTCGGTCTCCTCAAGATTTTCACCTTTCACCTGTGACGATCTCGTGATTTACTACGCTCTACGGGTCGAGATCCAAGAGGTTACCTACACCCGATTTACTACTCGTACTCGCAGTAGTGTTCAAATTTGCTCGCCGAATCGGTTTTTCATGCGTTTTTCCCTCTCAAAATCACTTAAGGATCAGCTGGAGGCTTTTTTTTCTGAATATCGTGGACAATGGCAATCACTACCAACACCATTAATAACGGTTTAGTGGAAATTTTGAATAATTTCAAGGATGACTGGGGTACACATTCTGCCCTCCCTTCCTTATGGAGTACGTAGAATCCGATGTCTATGGGCACGAGACAGCGATTGAACGCGCTGCTTCTACTATAAAGTACCTAAAATCGACTTTTGCCTGCGAGAATTGAGCATTCCTTCCATAGCATTGTAAGTGTTGAGTACCCTAAACTTCGAAAATGATGGAGCGCTAACTGAGCAGTGGATATCGCTGCAAGACCAATGCGCGAGTAAATCTAACACGTTTCTGCGCAAAAGGTGGATTTCAGGAAAGTGTTATGCCGAGCTTTTCGCCCTAGCTGATTTTAGTATGACATTGGGAGTTCTCAACCAGCAAGGTTAGGCCACTCGACCAGCGAGCGAATTTGATCATCGATATTTCACAATTCTCAGGGCTTGGGCAGGGTTTACCACATTTTACCCCAAATGAACTGTATAGCAACTTATGGAACTTTTGATGCCAGTAGAAATTCAACAAACGACACTTTACACAAAGGTGCTAGTTTCGTTATGGCTTGATTTACAACTATCACGAAAAAGTGATTTTATCGATTCCTTCAAAACTCTCACCAATAGTCGACCTGTGACGACTACGCTCTACAGGTCGAGATTCAATGGCATATGGCCTATCCACACCCGAATTGTTCCACCCATACACACTGTAGCGGCCAAAACTGCTCGCCGAAACGGTTTTTTCATGCATTTTTTCTCCTCATTTGAAAAAAAAAACTTAAAGATTACTCGGAGACGTTCCTCGAAAAATAGTTTCGGCACTCAGTTTCGGCGGCTTCTTTTGATCCATCATTCAGCGCAAGCAAAAACTCTCAGCAGCTTCTTGCCAAATATTGATAGGTTTAGTTTAAATTAGGCTTCCAATTTTTATGTGATTGCTCGGCAACTGTAAAAGTAGTGGAAAAGCCGGCGACGAAAAGGCAGCCTATTACAAATGAAAGTAGAGGTGGTCAGTGGTGCAGGGATGAAGAAAAAAATGAGAAACGGCCCAGAACCCGAGAAATGGGACCCCTTCCTTGCCCGTTGATTTCCGCATTGATGCGACTCTCATCGGTGCTGCCCTCTTCAACGCTAACGCTCGCTCTCTCTGCTGATTGGCTAGAGTCAGATGACGGGCGAGAAATGAGCGAGCAGCTGGGTATGACCTCAATAAGCCGCTGAATGCATACTCTTCAGTGCGAAAACAGCGCATCGTCGCCTTAACTCATTACGAGCGCGCCAGGATTGCGCAATAGCAGCAGCGTCAGAAGATTTTTCTTCAATAAAATCCGAGTGAAGGGAGATTTCCTCTGCCCAGGGCTGGCGTAGATGAGCGAGGGTATGAAGATTCTTTCCATGGAAGAAAACTTTCCAAATTCCATTTCAAGCCCTGCAGCCACAGTAATACCATTGTCCCGAGTGAGAGCTTTGTCAGCCACCGGTGGCTGACATTGTCACGAATGGGTTAAGGCCACACTGAAAATTTCGATGATATGTTCCGCATTATAAAATCGGACCTCATGTACCCCCCTTATTCAGTTGGGGAAATGGGCGGAAGTGGTGTAGTGGCAAGTGGCACGCTTACCACGCGAGCGGTCCGGGGATCAAATCCTGGGTCGTGAGTCGCCCGGGCCAACCAAGCCTTCCATCCCTCCGGGGTCGGTTAATTGGTACCAGACTTGTCTGGGAGGATAAAAACACTGACTTGTACATCGGCTGGCCCCCGCAAGTCATTGTATAGGCCACATCGCATTCAAACGCCAAAATTAAACAATGCTACAAAATATTAAAGAAAATGGTTCCGCATCTCTAAAAAGGCATTGACGAAGCTGTATCTTTGTGCATTAAGTGGAATTTAAGTGTGTGGCATTGGTAAAATGCTTCATATGGCTGAAGGACAGGTCTTTGTGGTGCTGTATGAGTCACCCCTTTGCTCTGGCTCACCATATGCGTCTTTAGTCGCTCCAAACTCTTCTCGTCTAAGGTTGATAATCAAATGATGCACATGCAGTCAGTGGTTTGCAGTGAAAAGTTTTCGGAACAGATCGATGGTTTCGATTGTAAACACGAAAACCTATAAATTTCAAACAAGCTCCTTTTTACGCAGCCACACTGACTTATGACTACATTCATCATTTACTGCTTTCTGAGCACATGTCAAGCGCAGCGGTGTTGCTCAGCTTCCACTTGCAGCTTCTGTTTACTGCCCATGGGCAAAGTAAGCGATATCTCCTGATACACATGAGTCCAGTCAAAGCGTCATGCAACAGACGAACACGCCTACACAACATTGGCTAAATTGTATGCCTTGAATAGAGGCAGCAAGCCCTGGTGTGTCCACGCATTACGGTACACGTCGGCATAGCCTTCAAAACGAGTTTAATGTTTCAATAAGCATCTCATCTCGGGGACATGGGCCAGTACAATATGTCTGCTCGTTGAGGCCTACGAATTTCAGTCAAATTAGGAACTAATCCGACTGAAAATAAAGCTCTACTCACTACTTACCAATGCTTGATATCACCGCAAGTAACCACATTCAGAAGCTATGATAAGAATGCGAAGGGCCGTCTGTAGTCCAGTAAATGGTACCGGACTTGCCTAGGAGGGTAGAAACGCTCAATTGCACGAACGTCCCAGCATGTCATTCTAGGTTCAAAGCGCATTCAAACGTTTCTACGATTCTGGAATGGACCGTAAGAAGTCCTCGGCGCATCAAAAAGCGGACACTCAATATCCACATCTATCTTCCAAAGAAAGTGCAGTACTCTCTTAAACACTTCCTCAAATTATCCTGCGGTAGTCAAGCACTGGCAAAAGATGTGCGAGCTTTCTAAGACATGTACAATCTATCTGGTGCGCGAATGCTACAGGTTATAAGCAGATGAAGAAAGATAGTCCATGCGTTTTCAGCAAAACCCTATTATTCTTAGATGAGGCTGCCCGACGTCACGCTCTCGCTCTGCTGCTAGAATGTCTTTCAATAGAAAGATGGAGGAGGATTGGCTTGTATTCTCGCCATTCTGAGAAATTCTGGGCTCAATTACGAACACGCCGCCAGGCCCGCGTAAAAGCCTATCTATGCTTTGAAGGATAAGCTTGGCGATAAACCTGGTAGGTGTACTCTTCTTCACTCGGAGGCAAAATTTAAAGAGACATGAAATTCCACCTTGCACGTGAGGGGAGAACGGGCACCTCTTCCGTGGAATGTGGAATCCTGCTCCGATAACCGGGCCTTTGGGCAAGCTTATTTGCTTGCAAATTTGTATGCATGTGAACATGCGCCGATATGGAAGTTCCCCAAGCCTTTGCATAGTCCACAAACAAAGGATGCCTCTGATCGGAATATTCTAGGACCCTGAAAAATCGAATGCAAAGAGCGGCCCTCGGTGAATTGCACTGCAAGCCATTGTCTGCATAGCTTTTTCTCTCCAAGAAGAGCCATTACTACAGACTTCGGCCTCTCATTTCACTTCATCACGTCATGTGCGGGGAGAGAAAGGGGCAACGATTGCCTGCAAAAAGGTCTTCAAGAGCATTGATACTGGCACATGGCGCTTAACAGAGATCAGTTTAGCAGCTGGTAAAGCTCAGAAATCACACGTACTTAGGAGGGAAGGATGGTAGGTCGAAGTGGCCGTTCGAAATGAAATGTATACCTCCTGATGCGTCTCCAGACGCTGATTCCAAATCTGCCTTCCAAATCTGCTAAACGACTCTCCGAACGGAGTTATGAAGCGTAATAGCTCAGTGGTGATGGTCCGGGGTGGCAGGTAAAAGCTCGTAGGATCGGTTCCTTTGCAAATTGGTTGCTTTGCTTTTGTC